CTTAGATTGATTTAATTAAAAAATTATAAATTCAGTCATTAAAGGTGTTTAAATAGATAATTAAAGTTTTCTTTGAACTTAATAGATGAAAAACTATTTAAGAACTCTAATTCTTAATTAATTAATTGACATAAATTTATTTTACTTGAATTATATCCTTATTTTTTTGGAAAAAAATTTTATTTAGATCTTAAATATTTTCTTTACATTTGAAATTATGCTTAAAATTCTACTATAAAAATAAAATTTTTAACAAATAAAAATTAAAGTACCATATTAAATGTTTTTAAAAACTTACGGGGGGCGGCTGTCCCCCCTGTCCTTCAATGGCTAAATTCGTTTGTAATATGTATTATAGAAGAATAGATAATTTATTTATTTATTTTCATATTAAAGATTTTATAATACTCTTTATTTTTACTTACTTTATTATTAAAACGAAATAAAAAATTATTATAAAGTAAATAATCCAAATTATGATAATAAAATTAAGAAAATAAGAAAATAAAAAAATATGTATTTCTTTTAAAATATAAAAAGTTAAAAAATTTAATAATTTATCTTTAAATTACCAGTGTTTAAGTTTAGTTGAGTGAGAGTTCAACTCTCACCAACAACAACTTGAAAAAATATTCCTATCTTCAAAATCCCTCAATATTAAAAAAAAAAAAAAAGGCACTTATTTTTAAATAAATGTTAAATTAAACAGACATTTATTATTAATTTGGGACAACGTCACAAGGGAGTCAGCAATTTATTGTTTTTATATTGGAATGCATTGTAAATTAGCCCTAACGGGTCTTTAACTCGTCTCGGATAGAATAGTTCCATGATTGTGATGTAATGAGATTAAAAGGTTATAATTACCATTAAGATTAATGTTAAGGTTATTAAAATAATAAAATTTTAATTTTAATTTAATAATTAAAAATTATTAAGCTTATTAAAATAATAAATATTTATTATATATTTTTTAATATCATAATTAATTATTTAAAAAATTATAAATTAATAAATTTACTATTAAAATTAATAACTTTAATAAAATTGATATTCCCAATAACCTCATCCGTCACATTATTGTTTCGGTCAGAAATAATTTAAAAGTGGAAGCCGAACCCTTACTAAAAATAGCACCGCTCGCCATTGTAGTCTCCGAGTATGTGCTTGAGATGAGTTTGGGGACAATATTCAAAAGGGGCCGCAGTCTAAAATAACAGTGCCGTGAAGATGAAGAGGATTCACTATTATTATTATTATTATTATTATTATTATTATTATTTAAATAGAAGGAAATTGAGAGATTAAGAGAATAATTATAATAATGTTACATTCCCAACTTAAACTCTTACCAAAATGGTCAAGATTATTAGTGCAATTTCATTGTGGCTAATGCACCAAGTGCAAGGTGAAGAGGATTAATACCTCTAATAAGTACCAACAATCTGTTGGTCCGAGTGGAAGGAATTCGATTTTTCTTAAATAAGATATCGAGTTTAAGTCTTGTAAATGAAAAAACAAGTGTTGGGAGAGTTTCCCCCCATATGAGGTCCGACCCGACTCGATTCCGAATTAGTCAGGTGTAATGTGATTTCTAAATACTGAAAGGTTAGTAACAAAAAAAAAAAAAAATCTCCAATAAGTAGTTGCACAGCAACTTGACAGTCGGTCTTATATATTGCTTACTGAAAATGAAAATTGACAGCAATGTTTAAACCATCGCCCAAAAGCCCACAATCCGATGGCCCTGAGAGTCCCGAAGAAGACCCCCACAGCCAGCGTGTCCGGTGTTGCCAATTGTAGACTCGTCTGTGTTGAGTTTCACCCAGTTCATGGGAGTCCAAAAATGAGCGGAGGTGATTTAGTACTTTTAAGATTTTTTGATAGGTAAAGATTAAGATTCAAACTCTAAATCTAGAATTAAGAGTACAAATCATTTATAATGGATAATTTTATCATCAGATTATATAGCTCATCGTATTTGTTAATTTTATTTGAAAATTAGGAATTTGACATCCAAAATTCCACTATCCTATCAATGGATAATCATGAATTCTGTGATATCAAACTCACATTGACGATACATAACATGATTCCGTTGATTCCAAATGGACCAGATAGCAAAGCAAAAAATGCAAGCCCACGGAATTCTAAATAAAGGATTAGGGGACATGCTGGTAACCTGAACCTTTAAGCCACTCCTGGAAGCTGAGATTATTTTGATCAACTCAGTGTGAATCTTTCAAATTCTGCATAAATCTTGAACCATACCAATCCTGCGAATAAAATCAAGGGACTTAATATTTCCGTGGGACAGCAACCATTGAAGATTGTGGATCTTCGGAAAAGTGGGAAATTTCCAAGTCCATCTCCAGTCACTATGAGCTTGTGAATCATTAAGAACTAAGGCCAGTTTTTTTGCACCTTGAGATTAATTACTCCCCAACCAAATGTGCACTTCTCACATCGACTTAATATATTTGAAAAAATTAATCCTTGAGTACCAATAGCAAGACTTGAACTTTGAATCTGATTTATAAGAGTACATTTGTTTATCAATAAATGCAACCGTTGGGGTTCTGTTACGGCCATTGGTTTGAATGTTTCACAGGGTTTTTAGTTTCAAATGAGCAATTTGATGGGCCTGTTCTGCTTCAGAGCTATGACCATGGCCTAATACATGATTTTATGCTGATTATATGTAGGTGCCATTTAGGACTCGAAGTTTTGCATTTTGGTGTTTCATCTTCCATCGGTGGCTATTGCTAATTCGCACAGCTGAGCTTCAGTTGAAGACTCCAAAAGTCAATATTTTTAATAAATATGGAGAAAGGTTTTTTCCCCCATCATCATTAATGTTTGGTGTGAAAATACAAGGCTCACACTGAGACCTGTACACACTAGAATACCATGTTGATGATGAGGAGGTTGTCAACCTTAAGTATCCTCAGTTGTGCCCAGTCTACCAATGCCTTTGTGCCATCATTTGCATCATATAGCCTCCATAGTTATTTTCATTGTAAATTGCTTAACAATGTTACATGTTGTCTACATTATCTGACTGTTGTTGAGGAGATTGGCCTTGCATTGTTCTTTTAAATTCATTTCAGTCATCATCTAATGGAATGCCACCACTGCCTCCAAGATCTATGCCTCCACCACCTCCACCAAAATTTAATTCAACAACCGCTGGGAACTTGCATGAGAAGAGAAGTGTTGCAGATAAAGTTAAACCTGATAACGTCTCTGGTAAGAATGGATTCTAAATTTGCTTACTTTACCGCTTCTTTTGCTAAATTTAACCGATTAGTACAAGGAATGCTATAATATTTGTCAAAAACCAGAGATATTATTTACACTTTACTTTGAATAGAGTGGATAACCTCTTTCAAATTCTGTTGTATATTAGTCTTGTACGTTTTAGTTGTTTCGGATACTATGGTGAAGTTAATGGAATATGGAGACGATGACGATGAATTTGAGGAAATCTGTGATGAAACCTTTAATAGAAACTCCAATATTGTTACAGTTCAGAAACCATTGTGGGCATTGTGACATGGGATTCTAGACTGTTGGCAGTAGGCAGAACTTTTTCTTATGTATACTTGGGATTTGCGGAGGTAGTGAAAAACAGTAGTTTCTTGGATTCTTTTGGTCTTTGGGAGATTGAGACCTGAAGCTGCATAGGCATCAGCTTAGCTTGTGCAACAAGGGGAAGCAGCAATAACTTCAGAAAACAAGGTTGCTGAATCTGTGGTGAGTTTTGGCTGTCAGCTGTGGGTGTTTTTGATGAGCAATGTAGAGAATCATTGTTGTGTTCTGGTCCCGTTGATAAGAGGGATGTAAACTAGTTCATGTGGTTGCACCGTGCTAGAATGCTGCTGCAAGCTGCAGAAGCTGTCACCAAGATATGGAGGCTAAACTTTGTACCTTAATTCTTTTAATGAAATGAATGGATGCTGTTTTATGATTGAGTTCAGCAACAAACGAATAACACTCCCCCTTCTTTAAATCTTTTCCTCTCAGTTGAAACCGAGATTTGATATCAAATCTTTATTACACTTAACTAACTCAATTAATTGGTATAATTGGAATGCATTGTAAATTAGCTCTAACAGGTCTTTAATTCGTCTCGGTCAAGATAGTTCCATGATTTATAATATAATGATATTGAAAGGTCATATACATTGTTCTTTTAAGTTTCAACAGGTCTTCAATTTGAGAAGGTTCTGCGTTGGGCTTTTGGTCGTTGGCTCACATGTTCTTACCAGTTCCAATGCAGCTTGAGACCAATTTCATAAAACATGCGTGCCACTTTCCAAGTTGAGAAAGTCTTTCAGTTTTCAAGTTCATTTAAGTAAGGTGGACAGAAGCGACTCAAGTCCTCTCCATGCACTGCGACTTTGGACTGAAAATGATGGCTAAACCACCCACGACCTTTCTGGACCCCATTTCATAAATACTTGTCATACATAGCTAAACCACCCAAGTTTCAGGTTCACCCCACACACAAGTTGCTGTTGATGCAAAATGCAGTTAAAGAAAATGAAAATGAAAAGAAAACCATAAAGAAGGTGGGGGCATTGTGTAATTAATATTCTAACAAATGGAGCTCAAAGCTGGCTTGAATTTCTTGTTCCAATTTTTCATTGAAACACCTTCAATTGAACTCAATCTAGCAATTTGTGCTGCAAAAAATGGAGAGTGGAGGGGTATGTATCACTGCCCTCCTTAATGAACGAGCCCACAATTCTTTATGAACAATAGCAATTATTAACAACCAGGAATTATCATTTCTAAGGCAGGCCACAACATTGGGGAGATGGGATAAATCTCCTTTATGTGTTAACTATTAACCATCTATTTTTTTAATCAAAAGTACAAGTTACAAAAACAAAAGGGGAAAAGAAGATGAAACAGATGTATCAACCTACATTCTTATCACCTCCTACTTGGATTAGGCAATGATTTTTGGGATCCCTCAAAGAAGTCCAACAAGTAATTCTGCAGATCATCAGGGCTGTACTTAATGTGTTTCTCACTTATGTGATTGCTGTGTCTTCCCACGAAAGTACGGTATGCCTGGAGAACCTTGAGGGAGGTTGAAATTCTCAAATCTTCTTGAAGCTGTACATTTGGGATAAGCCATGCTGTCTGTGTTTTGTATACCTCCTCAAAAGCAATGAAAAAGCTTCTGAACCTCTCCTTAAGAAGGTTCTTTGAAATGGAAGCTGTGCTGGAGTTGCCATCATCCTTCAGTAAAGTGAGAACTGAACTCCAAGTGGCTCTCTCGTAGTCCATTGCGTGCTGCTGGAATTTCCAGTTGTGCTTCCGAATCCACTCATCTCCGAAGACAAGCCTGAGCTCTGAATTTTTAACCTTCTGAGACATGTAATGTATGTTGTTCATCAAGAAGAAGTGCTGCAAGGAAGCATCTTTGTATAACTTCGATTTCTCATAAAGGTTGGCTTCTAGAATAGAAGTCATTGATCTGAAGTGGATAGCTATGTGAGAAGAATTGCCTGAGAAACTGGTGCTTTCCTCCTCTGCAGCTGGACTCATGTCAAGCAAAAGTGAGCTTGAATCAGCTTCATCAAGGTCCTTGAGGAGCGAATTGAGGGTCTCACTGTAGTCAGTAAGAAATTGAATGTAATTCATGACATATTTGGTCAGATGGTGAATTCCACCTCCTGCAAAGGGGTTTATTGATGTGTTTGATGCAATGGCATTCTTGAATTCATGAAATGTTACCCTCACAGTATTGCCCAATCTCCTCAGAACATCATGAAACTCAATTCTTACACAAGAACCAACCCCATCTGGGAACAAAGCGCCTATGTCTGGAAGCAGATCAGCTAGCACCTCATACATGTCAAGAATTCGAGGTAACTTTTCTGGTTGGTGAGGGCCAATTGATATGGCCTCAGCAAAGTCAAGTAGCTGCAGCATTGGAGCCTTTGATGCCTCAACGAAACATGATAAATTAGCTGAACCAACATCCAGAAATATTTGGTCACTGAGTCCCTTTTCACTTGCAAGATACACCCGCACAAAGATCTTCATAACCCAAATCCATCGCTTGATTTTGGAATTCAAGCTACCCCATTCCATCTTCAGCACATCCTCAATACTCACTTTCTGCATTTCAAGATTGAAGAGGCACTCATCCAAGGCATCTTTTCGAACAATGACATAGGTCTGCATACATTCATGATCATAATTTGACAAGAACATCAAATTTGCAATGTTTCTGAGGTCAGGAACCACATCTGGATGAACCAAATCAACAATAAGCTCATCTGATGCTCTGCTGATGATATCCTGGTGGGTTGACTCATCAAAGGAGTCATCCCCATAAGAAATTACGGAGCCCTCATCCACAACTTCCTCCTCATTTGAACGGAAGGACATGTGCTCCAAGGGTTGCCTATTCTCAACAAGCATGTGTTTAAACTCTTCCTCAAGCCTTGCCATTGCTGTCTGAAGAATTTCATGAGATCTTCGTAACAACTGCTTACCTTCCAGGCTATCTAAATGAAGACTCTCCAATCTCTGAGTCAACTCTCGAGCTCCCTCTGCAGCATTTAAATATTGTGAAGCTTCACCCGGACCTGAGCCCCAAATCATAGACTGATCAGCCTCCCAACTCAGGATCTCCTCCTGAACAACATTTAGTTGCTCTTCAATTTCACTTATTCCATTTCCCTCAACCCTGTTATCATCAACCGTGGCAGCCATGCTTGACAATTGGGTGCCAAGATCTGCCAAAACTTTCCTCATATCCGATGAGAGGTTCTTCTTTGACCCTAATGCCTTCACAAGATGCTCTGCAGCAGCAATCAAATTTTCTTCTCCTTCTAATTTTGAAACCAAAGACTCACAACCCCTCTTAGCCATACTAGATCCAAAACCCAAATCAATCACAGAGCTCAACTAAAGACCCACTTTGTATTCAACCACAACAACTGAACCAGAAATGCTAGGACTCTAGGAGTGCCTTTGCAAAACCCCAAAACAAGCTTCCAACATTCAACAGCAGGCAAAAGAAGATGCCTCCTTTTTTTTTTTTTTTTCCCTTTTATGAAAATCAATCCGACTACTTTCCCAAATCAAGAATTCATATATTTGTATGCAATAAATTGGTCATCAATCAAATTTGACAAATACCCAACAAAAAAGGGCATAGAAAAATCATGAAGTGATGATTGAAGGAAAGTCAAATATAACCGTAGGTCAGACACAGAAACAGAAAAATCAAAACCTTACCAAGACAATATGAACCAAATCTAGACGAAGAAGTCATGAGATGAGACCCAGAAAGCAGAAACTCTAAATCAGAACACCAACACAAACATTAATCAAACAACTTGGAAAAAGAAGCTGAAAGACATAAATATAATCAAACCTGACAAAATCTAGGAGCCCCAGAAAAAGGTTGTTTACAAGAAAGCTTCAGACTTTGGACTGAGATTGCAGGAATGAGGATCAAAATGGAAGTGGTTGCAGGGAGAGTACAAAGAAATTAGACGGACGGATGGTTGAGAGTTCCTAGTTTTTTAAAGGTACCAGCTTTTTGGATCTCTCTTTGGACTAGAGTAACCTCACAAGTCTTTTGTTTGGTTTTTGTGGCCTAGTTTCGTCAACGCGGATGAAAATTGGAGAACGAAGAAAAGTAGAAAACTGAAACATTTTTTTGGCCGTCAAAGGGGAAACTGAGATTTATTAGTGGATCGAAAGTTTGTCAATGTACGAACCAATACGGATTCTTAGACAATTGTTTGACTTTTATTTTTGCTAAATTTAACTATTTAACTCCATTGCTTATTTTCAAAAAAAAAAA